TCTTCTTCTTCTTCTTCTTCTTCTTCTTCTTCTTCTTCTTCTTCTTCTTCTTCTTCTTCTTCTTCTTCTTCTTCTTCTTCTTTTACTTCTTCTCTTCCTCCTGTTGTTATTACAGAGTTAGACTCTACTAACTTTGAGGATATTCCAGAATCTGATCTAGCAGATTTTGATGAATCCCTAGCGCTTTTGCCTAAATATATTAAGATATTCGCCAGCAAGAGCAACTACCACAGATCTTCCTTGCTAACTATTAAGGAAAAGCCAAAGTCTGAAAGAATAGACAAGGCTTCAGCAATCTGCTACAATTGTCACCGTACTGGACATTTTGCAGGTGAATGCAGATCGAAGAAAGCTGCGACACCATCTTCCAAAACCCCATCCTCCTTCAGATCTAAGGATGACAAATACTTGAAACTGAAGGAGAAGTACAAGAAGATGAAGAATAACCAGCAAAAGGCCAAGGGTCTTATCGCTGAAGAGCATGATTGGGCTGATTCATCTGATGAATCATCTTCTGATAAGGAAGATATAGCCTACCTTTGTTTGATGGCCAAGGATGTCAACGAAGAAACGTCAGAGACATCCACTTCATCTGAACCATCAACCTCTTCTCCTGCTCAGGTATGTATCCTGAATGAACCCTCTTCTTCTTCTTCTAGCTTATCCGCACTAGACACATTGATGGTGGATCTTTACTAAAGACAAGAAGAAGGGATTGATTATGACGAAACCTTCGCACAAGTGGCTAGACTCGAAGCTATTCGACTCTTTCTAGCCTTTCCTGCCCATAGAGACTTTAAAGTCTACCAAATGGATGTAAAGAGCATTTTCCTAAATGGGAAACTTCAAGAGGAAGTTTATGTTGAACAACCTCCTGGGTTTCTTGACCCTAAGTATCCAAACCATGTCTATCGTTTGGATAAGGCTCTTTATGGGTTAAAACAGGCTCCTTGTGCCTGATATGATACATTTTCCTCAGTTCTCATCTCTGAGAAATTTGTTCGTGGAAAGATTGACTATACCTTATTTATTAGGAAAATTAAGGGTCACATCATTATAGTCCAAATTTATGTCGATGATATTATATTTGGTTCCACTAATCCCTCTTTGTGTTTTCGGTTCGCTGATTGCATGAAGAAAGAATATCAGATGAGTATGATGGGAGATCTAACCTTCTTTTTAGGTCTCCAGATCAAACAGTCAGATAAAGGTATCTTTATCAATCAAAGTAAGTATGTTCGTGACATGCTGAAGAAGTTTGATTTATCAAACAGTTCATCTATGAAGACTCCAATAGCTTCTCCACTCTCTCTCAACAAGGATCCAAATGGAAAGCCTGTAAACGTAACTGTTTACAGAGGAATGATCGGCTCCCTACTGTATCTAACAGCTAGTCGACCAGATATCATGTACTCTGCCTGCTTATGTGCACGATATCAAGCTGAACCAAAGGAATCCCATCTGATTGCTATAAAACGCATCTTCAGATATCTTAAGGGAACTCCTAACATGGGTCTTTGGTACCCTA